TATTAAAATGGCCAGACATACCCTTATACGTATAATTTGCTATATCTACAATCTTTGCTTTAATAGTGGCCGATTTCCCATAACATTTCAAAGGGCATTAGTAACCCCCATACATAAAAGTGGAAGTAAAGATGATGTCGACAACTACAGGCCAATTTCTGTGTTAACAGTACTATCCAAAATACTGGAGAAGCTAATAAATAATAGATTGAAAAAATATCTCATGGATAACGACTTGCTCTCTAAAATCATTTTGGTTTTAGAAATGGAATATCTACTCAGGACGCTGTGTTAGCTTTGACTGAAGAAATAAGTAAGCACTTGGACTCTGGTAACAAATGTCTTGGAGTTTTTTTTTAGATTTGGCCAAGGCGTTCGACACTGTTTCTATTCCTATCCTGTTAGACAAACTAAATAAATATGGTATAAGAGGTCTGCCTCGTGCGCTTCTATAAGATTATCTCACTGAACGTCAGCAACAACTCAAACTTGGTGAATATCTTAGCCGTCCATCAAATATCTCCTATGATGTTCCTCAAGGTAGCGTCCTCGAGCCTACTTTATTTCTAATCTATGTCAACGATTTATGCAATTTAAGCCTACAAATTTGTCAAATATATACCTACGCAGATGACACCGCTTTTATTTTTAATACAAAATCATGGGAAAATCTAAGGGTTATCGCCGACTCCGGAATCCACCACATATCTAACTGGCTAAGATCGAACCTTCTGACCCTAAATATTAATAAAACTAAATTCATACCTTTTTCTATACGGAAAAATACACAACCTGATTCTAATTTTAATCTAACAGTTCATACCTGCCATAATCCTTATTTAAATAGCCATAGTAATTGCTCATGTGATAAAATCACCAGGACTAGTACAATCAAATATCTCGGTGTAACTATTGATCAGCATCTTACATGGAGTCAGCATATTGAAAGCATCGCTGACAGGATAAGAAAACTAACATGGGTGTTCAAAAAACTCAGGTGTGTTGCAAATGAAACAACCCTCATTACCACCTACAAAGCTCTTGCGCAATCGGTATTGAGTTATTGTATACCTGTTTGGGGTGGTGTAGCAAAAACACGTATAATAGCACTAGAAAGAGCCCAAAGATCTCTAATTAAGGTAATGTTCTTTAAACCGTTTCGATTTTCAAATTTTGAACTACATAGGTCTTATAAATTGCTTCGTACTCGCCAGATTTATATATTGAATTGCATCCTAAACACTCATCGACATTTACCTTATACACGTCATCATACACCAAAACGTAGGAGCACCAAAATTTGCCATATACCACAAAATAAAACAAAATTTAAGCAAAAACAATACGCATTCCAATCTATATCTCTTTACAATAAATTTAACAGCAGATTGCATATTAACCCCTTGACGTGGACTAAAGTCAAACGTGTAGTAACACAATATTTATTAACACTTAACTACGAGGAAACTGAACAATTTATTACTTAACTTTTATACTTGGAACAGCCTCACCAATTGTCAAAGCTCTGCTCACATACCCACAACACACACACACACACACACACACACACACACACACACACACACACACAAACTTATTACAGGGGCCCTTGCGACTGCTTTAAATTGTATCATTGTGAATCAATAAATAGTTTTTCAATTTTTTTTCAATTATATATTAAATACAATTCAATAAAATTAAAATAAACAAACGATTTTTTATTAATTTTTGATCACATTAATAAACAACAAATTTAAAAAAATATTTGTCTTCTTTCTAGAGCATACATTGTAATGCTTGGTTTGAGTAGCTTTAGGATTTCTCAAAAATGTGCATTTGTAAACTTAGAATCGGATTAGAAGGGAGTATATATATATATATATATATTATTTGCCTTGTATATTATATATTTTAATGGTATAAATAATAAGGTACAACTTCTAAACTATACTTAGAAAGGTAATACTTATCTCTTGTCAAAAACATCTTTATTACATTATTTATGACAATTAAATAGAAATTATCATAATTATTACATTTATTTCTTAATTTATTTACACATTAATGTTTATAACACCTTTATAAAAGGGATTAAGGGTGGACTAAATGTCCCATTGGTAGGCATTCCCAGTCAGTTTTATAATTATTATTGCATAATAAATTATTCATTTGTATATTTAGGTCAGGACTTTAAATTACTTATTTATTTCTTTTATTTAAATCTTTATTTGCATAAAACATGGTAGTACAGATAGAGTTCTAACATTTGTAAATGAGGATTCATGTTTAATCAATACATCTATAAGTAAATATTTTGTCATTCATCAATTATTACAACTCATAATAATAGAGAATGTCAGCATTTGAAAATAAAATAAGCAATGCTAGTAAATTTTTAATACATACAGAAAAATGTCAAAAATCATCACTACCAACAAGATCAAATTTATATCACTTATGGAGAAACAACAAGATACAACAAGAAATTATAACATTTAAAAAAAATATCTTAATAACATTATAAATTACATAAGTTAAGCATATTTAGTCCATCTAAAACAATGAGGCTTAAAATGTGGCTTAAAAGCATAACACTGCTAAGTTTTGTTGGTTACCTATAATCACTACCAGTAGCGATTATCCAACAGTTACAGATAGCTGATTCCTTAGGAAAGCTGTGAAATAATATATTTAAAAGAAATTAATATATTAAATAAATAGTACACTTTTATATCGAGGTATTTAACAAAAATAAAATCAAGTATGTGTATCTGTGTATAAATACAATACCTATAACAATTAGAACAATATCAATTGATTCAATTAAATAGCAAGTATATGTAAATGTAATGATAATATTATTCATACCAAACATTTAAAAAATTATGCACATATTAAGCTTTACATATTGTTAATTAATACATTTACAGCCTAACAAATGTCATCCACCGCTGAACATAGACCTCCCACACAGTTTGTCTCCAAATAACTGCATTTGCCAATTCTCCTGCCAAGCTAGGCAACTATCACAAAACCTATAACTTTTGACTTTTGATACTGACTAATGGTAACGGTAAGTATATTATCATCAAATTTTTCTACATCATTAATTGAGAATATTATCTTATGTGTTTGTGTTATTGTGTACCTTAAGATTAAGACTTATTTATTTATTTATTATTTTATCTATATATATTTTTATATTAGCATGACATTTTTTTTAATAAATATTGTAATGTAATTGTTGCTAATGTATAATAGAATTAATGGAATGCAATAAAGTTTTGTGCATCTGATTTCAGGCAATACATATTTTGTGAAATTAAAAATACTTTGCACAATATTTATGTACTTGAATCCAAACGTGTTTTCAGGTGGATACTTACATATTATTTGTGACGTCTATGTAATATGGAAAATTATTGAAGAGTTGTAGGGCAATAAGGAGTTTCCTTTAAAGCTGAATATAAAAGTGTATGTATATGTATAACATTATGTGATTCATATTTATGGACATAACTACTAATCACAATAACAATTATTATTGAACAATGCGAAAACATTATTTTACTCGCTGATATCCCGAAAGTTTCTATAATCCTACCAAATCAAAAAGTACACATTTGTTATGACTTTAAGCTTTCGAATGACGCTTCAAATTAAGGAGCATTATCATGAAGAATTTACAATTTGGGAGTCCAAATATTTGACAAAATACATCACAAAGTTCATTAAAAACATGAAATGTTACACTTTATATTCAAAACAATAGACATTAATCAGTACAAGTGGCAAATGTTAGCACAAAACAAACTTACCGATGAAAGGTAATATTATCAATTTTTCTTTGACTGATGCTGTTGCATCCTAAAATGCTACAACTTACCATCTTTTTCACCTTACCTAATAACTAAGACCCACAAAAAACACTAAATTCAATTACCTGTTTGCTTATAATATCAATATTATTCAAAAGAGCTTGACATCGTTAATGTCAAATAAAGGAGGGAAAACAATCAAACACGCATACCTAGAAAAAGACAAGAAATATAGATTTGCTTCTCCCTTACTCTTATGTCTAACTATATACGTGCATTCCTTTCACATGCTGATGACGTCAATGAATGTTTAGTCTATAAGATACTATGTCTATGTCATAATAGCTTCAGTCCTACATATATATTTATCTATGGGTTATAACTTTGACACACAACAAAATTGCCAGTTTTTGATATATTTTATGATTTTTATAGACTTGAAATATCTTGAAAGTATGAAAACCAACTTGAGAGAAAATATTAAGTAAACTCTTTTGTGTCATATTTAGCATAGTAAAAGTTAACTAAATAAATATAGTGATGATCTGTCAAAGTTACCCCGATTGACTGTATCTGAGAGTTTTGGCGGGAACTTGACCCGCGGCAGTGTGCTGCTCCTGTATTATTGCTTAAATAATGGGTTGAAGTGGATTTTGGTATGTAAAAGTGGTGCGATTTTGTGTATTAAGTGTCTGCGCATGTGAAATATTAGTGGAAACGGTGAAACAAGTGCTCTGATGGTGAATCACCATCAGAGCACATGTCTTAAAGTGTCTGTCTGCTTAGGCCCCTGAGATACCATCGCCAACTGTCAGCTGTCTGCTGGCTCAAGCTGCCGTCAAAATCTCCCAAGGGCTGCACAATGTGACGCATCAATAATTTGTGAAGCAGTGTACTATGAAGGACAATTATTATTATACATTGTAACTTCAGGCTCAGAAGGGCTAGAACCTAGAGCCGTAAAGCCAGTTATAAAAAAATGCTACATATCTATTTATCTATGGTCTGACTTTTTGTTGACAAACAAATTTAAGGGTTTATTTTACTTGACATTGGCAGAATTCTAAAAAGAGGGGCCATAAAACTAAGAAAGAAGAAGAAGGGTTTATTTTATTTTACGCGTTATTAATTTTTATTTTGCCTATTTGTTTCATCAACATCAATAGAATGGATAATTAGAACATGTCGATTCGAATATTGTTTCCATTAGTTCATAATATTGAGGAAGATATTTATTTTAAAGGATATATTAAAATATGTGACGACAACTTGATTACAATCTATATTACTAAGTATTCAACTCGTAATATATTTTTAGAAGAAAACGATAAGGGCGATGATTTCATATATGGTTACTGTAGTTGTAATCCAAAATTTAAAAGGAAATGGAAAAGACCAGTAAATTTCTTAATTTTGTGCAATCTATTGTATCCCCAAGTACAAGAAATAAGTATACGTGGAAAAGAAATTAATATTTATGATAATTACATTATTATTTTATATGACCATTATGTTATCAGAAATTCTGAAACGCTAAATGAATGTAATGACTTTATTTCTAAGTTGCAAAATCTGGTGAGGAGTGATCATAAAGAAGAATACTATGGAGCAGTTTATGTACCAACATTTAGAAATCCGTCATGGCTTGTTCCTTCTATGTTTATGCAACATGCGTGCAATTATTTGAATATGTTAATTTGGCTTATACTATCCATTGGGCGTAATAGAAAAGTAAGTAATATGAAAATTTGTTTTTTGGTTATAATTGATATAATATATACAAATCTAAATTATTACAAGCATGTATTTATAGGAATTATTACTTTTAAACTCGCCTTTTATATTGCTCCTTAGATGATATGAATTTGATGTTGTTTATAGAAAATGAACAAGTCTTTTATATTTAAACTATATATGGGCATTGTAATTTTACCATTTTCATGGAAGTTCATTGATCCTTGCAATTAAAAAAGCCTGTTAATTGATGATCTCTTTAAATTTAACTATCAATCCTCCCTGACTTCACACTCAAATATTTGTTGTCGGGATCCAGAAATCAACATTTCTGGATCCCAACAATAACACCAGCTACGGGTCCAATTGTGAATTTAAACTATTCTCTAATCAACTTAATCACACACACAAAATTTCATCAAAATCGGTCCAGCCATTTAGAATTTCAGAAGTTGACAGCTCGGACGACGGAAGTTGATCTTCTTCAAGGAGATTTCATGGCACGAATAATTGTGACATTCCTGCTCACACGCAAAATACGGACTTAGACCATCGTAAAATATACTTAACTAAACTATAAATTGTACGTATATGTTCAATAAGAAAACCGGATTAGAAGGTGATTAACACATTTATACTTTATCCTTTAAAAAAGTTTTGATATCTGGCAGCGTAAGAATATCCACTACCTCATATCATTCTGTAGGTGTGTTATAAGGAGAGAGAGAAAAGAAAGTAATTTAAAATATAATAAAATACTGTAGCTGCCTGTCAAGACTAACGACTATAGCAAATTAATGGGGGAGCCCCTTATTAGGCAATCTGTTGGAAAGGGAGGTAATAATAATGATTATGATGTTCAAAACCTGCAGTTGAATATTGATAAAACATTTCAAAATTTCATAATTTTTGAAATTGTTTATTAGTTGTAACATTTTAATGTGAACTTTTATGATGCACAAGCAATCTTTAATTGTTTAATGTAATTAAGTTCCTTTTTTTTCATTTACTATATTTGATTCGCCATTTATTTTTTGTAATTATGCAACAGATATATAACAAATATGTCAAGAAAACAAAATATAAAAAGATGTGAAGGCATTATGCCTGATCAATGATCTACAAGTGCTTAACAACATAATTGGACTGTGTCATAGAGCAAAACAAGCTACGGGCGGATGTGAGGTGAATAGCCATACGCAGGTGTTCTCCTCTGTCAACATATGAGTCCATGCGGTCCTATGCGTACAATAAAACTAGTTGCAGCCGCACTTCTCACTAGACAATCTACTAGCATGGCTGAATCGACATTCTACAAAAATGCCGAATTGTTCAGTTTTTGCTGCAAAAAGAGATCTTTACATATATAAGTAATTTATAATCACATTATTGTTATTTCTGATTTGCTTGCCAACACTGCTCATATTATATTGTATGAGAGCAAAAATCGGTCGAGCGACTAATCTGCATCTGTATCCGAGTTGTCACTATCACCGAGTGATAGTGTTCTAATGTATCTATGTGTGTGTGAAATTGTTAGTTTATTGTTTTAATTATTATGTGTGAGTTTCATAGTGACAAACATTTGTTTTTGTGTGTGCCGATTTTCCCCCACATAAATGACAGACAGTTATGTATTGGGAGAAAACGCTATGGCTACTCCCCACCTATCTGCCGGTGATCCGTGTATGACCATAGAGCACTATGGTCTATCTCTCTGTATCGATCAATCAAAAAATTTATTGTGTATAAAGTAGTTTTTCTAATTCTCTAATTTAAATAATATTGTGAATTTATTAGTATAGCCTATATTTTATTAGGCCTATATTTATTAATATAGGCCTAAATATCAATGATAATAATAGCTTACCCTGAATTTCATCAAAGTCAAACTTAAACATAAAATAACTGCAGTCTATAATAATGTTCTTTGGGCAAACAAAAAAAAACTACTAAGCTCTTATATTTTTTTGCTATTGCTTAAAATCTATGGTAGATGCAGACCTAAAATTTAATTACACCGCTCAATAGATAAATAATCAAAGAATTAATTACGTTGAGTGGTGACTGTAAAGGAATGTGTGGAGTGTGGGTCGTGTCCACGACACAGCGACACAGATTTTTTTATGTAAAAATACTAAAGTTTTGTTTGAAATTTTTTTTATACATTTTATACTTTATGACATAATGCACCATAACCATTAATTTTATCATAAACTGACGATTTCATTTCATAAAAAAATCTTGCATGTTGTTCAGATAGGAATATCCTAGATCACTCCTAGTATTGCTGTTTATCTGTTTGTGAAATTTCATCATAATCTTCAGCTACGCCGAAGGTTAGCCCAGACAGATGGACAAAAATTTAAAAAATCATGTTTTAATAGCATGTAAATAACATTTAAGTTACAATTTTTTCCAGGTTTCAATGAAGCAAGGGAATTTAATTTTATCAATTCTAGTGGATATTTTGATTGGATATTTCTTTTTAGAATTATTTTTAAAGGATAATGATAAAAAATACCTGGGACACCTTTTAATGGGATTTTTGGAGGTAAAATAACTTCTTGAGAATTAAAAGCCTACATCATGTATTTTTGAAAACATAAATATTATTTCTAACATTTTTTTTTTCAGAAATTGGTAAATTCAATGTATTCTTTGTTGAAATGGTTGATGGGTTCTCCTGCTGGCCTTAAATTGAATAATGCATTTAACAAAATGCTTGGAAAATATTTTTCCTATCACATTGAACTTTGGTGGCTATTTTTAGGTATGAAAACTATTTGTTTTATATAATTGTTCAAAATTATCTAATATCTAAACAATTTTGCCATGTGGTGGTGGTAAATGAAAGATCCATCACTTCATTTATTCCCATGGGTGTGGTAAGAAGTGACTGGGAAAAGTTCCGAGATAACTTGGTGCTTCATAAAGTATACCATCATGTAAAAACAGGGAGCAGTATCAAAGGTAAAGCAACATTTTCTTACAATGAAATGGGCCATGTTTAGTACTGCACTGATCTGGGCAGATGAAGAAGAATTACGCAACTAAAAATCTCTCACTCAAGGTGGAAGACAGTCAAAAATATGACCTTTTATGTACAGACATAGAGCTCATAGTCGTATGAGCTCTACGCGAGCGACCCGTGTTCAATCGCCGCGCCGCCGGGACCAATGAATTTGAATGAGTGATATAATATTATAACAAACCAAGCAATCAAAATATTATATCACTTGTACTTGTTGAAATTTCAACAAGTACAAGCTGGACTTAATGGTCAAAAAATTTATCTTTAGTATGAGCAACCAAAATATTATATCACACATCCTAAATACTCATATTTCTGTCTTTTCCGAATTTCTCCCTACCTAAATAATCTTTATATTCTGCCTCACTGGTGTAATTTTCTCGAAACTCAGTCTGGAGTCTGAGGCTTTTCAGTCAGGTTGGTCAGTTTTTGATGACCCATAAAACAAAATATAACACTTAATGTGTTGTTATATTATGTAATGTGGCTCTAAAGTAATGACCTTGTCAAGTTTTAATTATTTTCGTACCGTAATATATATACTACTACTTACAATTTTTTCAGATGTGTCAGGGGAAAAATTAGACCTTATATTACATCTGTACAAATATATAGGTTACCTTGGATTCACATTTCAAGCTGCCATAATAGCTGATATGATATGCTTAGCAACATTCCACTCATATTGTATATACGTATATGCTGCAAGGTAATTTTACAATGTTTTATATTTATGAATGCTCCGCCACAGTATGCTCCTCTCGCTGCCCACCACTCTGCTCCTCGCGCTGCCGCGATGTTGCCCTCTCTACCCACACTCTGCACAGCATTAGGTTGCTTGAGTTTGCAACACAATAGATGTTGAAACTGTGACAGCTATATGCATATTTAGTATAGCTTATTATATCAATGTCATAAAGTGAAATATACGTCTTCATCCTCGCCAACGGGGATGGTGGATGACATCTGCTCATCGCAATAGAACGACCCTTTTGTAACGAGCGCTCGATTCGTAATGCGTACCATATTGCCAGTCCTTTGACTTGCGCTCAAAAACCGAAAAACAGGGAGTGATGTGGCATGACGAGTATTGTTGTCACACCATGTCTCTGATTCCGTTCCACGCTGCTTCCCATGCCACTCGACGAGTGCGTGGCAGGGGAAGGTTTAGGGTCAGTATTAAAGCAGAAGGAAAGGATGAGTTTGAATCTTAATCTCTGAACAAATAGCCATAAATTTTATAGTACGCGAGCAACTGTTTGGTCTTCACAAGCACCACTAAATTGTTAATCACAATGGTCCACGACGTTTTCTGCCACCAGGGCGGCGCCTCTAGAAAGTCAGGTTGTAATATTTGACAGATTTCATAGTGGGGGAAGTTAATTTGTTTGGAAAATGTAAACGTTATTGTTTCTTTTTGTACTATTAGCTAAACTTTATATTAATAACATTAAAGATAAATAAACCAAACCACAAATATTCATAAAAGTAGAAAAATTAAACAGAAAGTTAAAAATGTGCAAAAAATTAAAGATCTTAATCTTTTATTACAAAACAACTTCTCAATTAAATTACATTGTGTAACAAAAAAATTTACCTCAGTGTCAACTAGCGACATCTGATGTGCAGAATATTATTAGCCCTCATTAAGGTAGTGATTTAACAAGGCAGTAAAGATTATTTTGCGAATTAACCAGTATTAATAAAATTCACAATTCCAGAACATGTAGTTTGCTAATTCACACAAGCAGCATGGCAGACAATTTTTTATTACATATATATTAGATGATCATAACGTAGAACTTTGTTACAGGCTATTCAATATTCAAATATCAGGACTAACGGCACTACTAAGACTGTTTGTAGGCAGAAAATATAATCCATTAAGAGGGGGTATAGATTCGTGTGAATATACCAATCAAGAACTTTTTGTAGGCACAGTTGCATTTACCATTTTGTTATTGTTGTTGCCTACAACTGTTATGTATTATATAGTATTTACCTTGGTAAGTGAATTGATTATGTAAATAATATTTTTTAATACTTTGAATCATTCTATATAAGCAAGGTCGTCGCCAAGGGAGGGCGGGGGGGGGGAGCTGCCCCCCCCCCCCCCCAGACCCAAAAATTTAGTCTATACTAGTAAAATGTAGTATAGAAGCGAACTTCCTGATAAAAAGTGTTTGTTGACTACCTGCGCATAAAATACGAACAAAAAAACATTAACTATCAAATTGCGGTAAAACTTTGTGAACTTATTGCTTGCACTTGTGCGTATGTTTTAGGCATAGTACAATTAGCTTACACTAGGTGGCGTAGGAAGTCAATGGATGAAGGTGGCTCAGGACCGTGCTTTGTGGCATTCTTTGGGGGAGGCCTATGTTCAGCAGTGGACTTGTGAAGGACTGTAATGATGATGATGAGGTGGCGCGCGTAAATTAATTTGAAAATTATAATATTTCATTCAATTTCAATGAATGTATAATCATTCCTAATTAAACAATACAACTATCCAAATTAAGACGATATTACCACAATTATTTCTTCTGCATTATCAACGCGCCGGGTACCAGATAGTATATAATAAAATATTATTTAGTACTTGCTTATAAGAGAAAAAATTTATTTCGAACTAAATACTAAAAAAAAAAAATACTAACTGTGGATGTTCACACGTTTAAAAATTTGAATAGATATGCAGATGTCTAAGGGCCACAGTATCCACTTACCATTAGGTGAACTAAATGCTAGTTAGTTAATAGAACCCTAACTTTTAATTAACTTTAAATTAGCTGGGTGTGTTGCTTGTTCTTGCCAGGACAAAGGTATTTTCCGAAACTTTAGTATTAATTACATTCTACGCCATCTCAAACAAGCACCCTACATAAAAACAAAAATATTATATACTCGTACATACATTGAAAAATTCTCTCACACCATTTACTGCCTTTTGTTTTCATACTAAATTTAAATTCTGTTTTCAGTTTCGAGTGTTGTCTATCTTAGTCCAATATATACTTGCCAAGTCTATATATTTAATACAAACATTACCTCTATATGTAATAATCCTGTGGTTAACACGATCATCAAAAGTAGCAGGTAAGTTTTATTAAAATAAGTATAAATATTATGTGCATTTCTATGTTGCTTCGCATCAGTTGTTGTTGTTGTTGTTGCTTTAAGTATTAGGATAACAAATAATAGGATTTCATAATTATGATATTTAGTTTTGGCGGTATATAAGAATATATCACTATTTCGTCCTGACCCTGTGAACAATGTAAAGGCGACTGTGGTAGTTGCCAGTGAAACCACATAGTCTCCAACAGATAATTTTATAAACCTAGTATGTGAAATATATAGATCGGAAGATGGAAATCATCATCAAAGTTTGAGACATGCAGTGCTGCCAGCATAAAACTAGATCTAGAGTTTTTGAAATCACTAATACTCCTTGTATTTGTTATCTATTTGATCTATTCCGTGTAGTGGCGGTGTAAGAATATCCATTACCCCATATAATCCCGTGGGTTTCGTGAGAGGTGACAGAGAGAAACAAATCAGATAGGCAGTAACGTATTCCTAATAACGAAAAAAATTTAAATATACTGCAGTTACAATCCCCTCTATGAAACAACCTATAAGCTGTAACGGTAAATAAAATTTTACTGTATTTTATAATTTTACTAAGTGGTAGGCCCCTTTTCTGCCTTGGGGTCTTTCTGGATAGATACCACTCTCTTATCTATTCCTGCCGTCAACTACAAGTGCTTGCGTTGGTGCGATCGGGACGGAAGGGTATAGAGTCAGTATGATTACAGGCCGTGTAGTTGCGGTTAAGAATATCCACTACCCCATATCTTCCCGTGGGTGTAGTCAAAGGCGACAAAGGGAAACAGGCAGGAGACGGGAAGCAGCATCTTACTGATAACAACAAACTTACAATAAAAAAACTGCGGTTGCCAACCCGCTCGCCAAGCGTGGCAACTATGGCAAATACCCCAACATAGGTTATTATTAATATAATAATAATACAACATAGGTTGAGAGTAACAAAGAAACGGCCCCCAGTCCCCGGCGGCCCCACTATTCCTGGCTACGGTGGCGACCATGGTAACGCCGGGGCAGGGGGTGCTAAGAATCTCCGGTGGAGGTTCGGTTGCCACCTAAGACAACTCGACCTGGCAACATACAACGCACGCACCCTGAGGACTGTCGAGAAGATCGTGGAGCTGGGAGAAGAGATAGACAAGTTACGCTGGCATATTATAGGATTATCCGAAGTCCGAAGAGAGGGGGAGGACACGGTAATCCTCGAATCCGGCAACTTGTTCTATCATCGAGAGGGCGACCATCTGTCCCAAGGAGGTGTCGGATTTATAGTCCACAAGTCTCTCGTTAACAACGTTGTAAAGATTGAGAGTGTGTCGACGAGGGTTGCGTACCTTACACTCAGAATCACCAAACAGTATTCGCTGAAGGTCATACAGGTTTACGCACCAACCTCGGCACACCCCGATGAGGAGGTGGAGGAAATGTATGAGGATATCTCTAGAGCCATGCATTCCTCCAAAACCCAATATACGGTGTTAATGGGAGACTTCAATGCAAAACTAGGCACAAGAGAAAACGGTAAGCTGAAAGTAGGGAAATTTGGAATAGGACAACGGAACCCAAGGGGCCAGCAGCTGGCCGACTTCATGGAGAAAGAGGGACTCTTTATGATGAACTCTTTCTTCCAGAAGCGGCCCCACAGGAAGTGGACCTGGTCGAGCCCCGACGGTTCGACAAAAAATGAGATTGACTTCATTATGACGACCAGACGACAACTGTTCAGTGATGTCTCCGTGATCGCGAGGGTGAAAACTGGTAGCGGTCACCGAATGGTTAGATGCACACTGAACCTAAACGTTAAGTTGGAGAGGTCTCGTCTAATGAAGTCAACGCTCCGTCCCCCTCGTGCTCTGTTCCAAAGTCCCGAAACCTTTCAGCTCGAGTTACAAAACCGTTTTCAGTGCTTAGAAGACTGCAATGAAGTGGACGATATGAATGACAAGGTCGTGAAAACTGTCCATGCGGTCGGAGCTAAGTTCTGCAAGACCCGCCGCAAAAGAACACAATAAGTATCCGATCACACTCTCAATCTCATGGCTGTTAGACGGGAGATGAAGCTACATTCTTCAACAGATTTGACAGCATACAGGCAACTGAACAGACAGATCTCCAAATGTATGCGGCGGGACTTACGCAACTTCAATACAGCTTGTATTGAAGAAACAATCGAGCGGAACCAAGGCTCCAAAGTCTTTGCCAGAGATCTGTCTGCCAGAAAGGGCTAACTAGCAAAGCTGAAGACCGAATTTTGAGTGAGATTGAGAGGTTCTATGGGCAGCTGTACACGTCATCGTTGGAGCCACACGTAAGTGTGAGTAACGATAATTAATAGAATCAGGCGTCACTTTGCGGAAATCCATTATATAAAAGCTTTTAAAAAAATTACTTCGCAAATATCTGCGTTATAAAATAAAATGATGTGTCTTACCTAGTATGAAGAGCACCTCCCGCCCTCCCTCAATTGCGTGCACTATCCCCGTCACCACTAATCCCAGCACCGCTACTCCCAACACCACTACACTAGTTAAGATACACCACTGACGACAATACGACACGTGTTTCGCCTCTACACGAAGCATCCTCAGGTGATATAGACTCTACGGTGACTAACCGCTAAGTGAGCGGTGAGCCAAAACAACTGCTATATATACAGACCGCTGACGCAACTGCTCTCTACTTAAGAAGCGAGCGACTGCGTCATGCGATAAAACATGCGACCAATCACCGCCGGACTTACGCAGCCGTTTGTAAAATTAAAAACCAACCACCGCGCAAAGCCCACCTACCCTCCAACCACGCAACCAATCGCCGATCACCGTGAGGGTGACAAACGACCAAATTGCGAAGCTCTCTGTTATTAGAGAGCATGCTTAAAGATATTTAAAAGAGGTGAGTTAGTAACATTTGTTTGTTCATTCAGCAGTGCAACGGTACTATTATTACTTTTTAATATCGCTTACTGTTCCAGCACATTTTATTGTGATCGGGAAAAACATATGATGACTGTTTTATACATAACTTAATATCCGAAGTAATCTTATATCTTTTTGGTTGGGTCAGACTCCACAATAGCTCAAAGTCATCACCATTGGATAACATCGTTAACTTTCTGGCTGTACCCACTACTCTCCATAATAACAACAGTATTGCCTTTATCGGCTTTAGTAACAATAAGGTCGTTTTCCCTTATTCTCTGCTTTAGGGACTTAAAAATAGGGAACTCAGGATTAAAATGGGACGACGCGGGCACAGCCCAAATTTCATTAGCTACCAAACTTTTAAACATGTTATGTTTCTTCCCAATCACAACAGCCATCTCCGCGTCAACAGCCATAGTCTCTAACGATTTTTGGGAGACCGAAGGTGTTAAATTATACTTTAGGCCTTTATGTAAAAAGGGACAACTCATCTGTTGGAAACTGGACATCGGAAAGATTTTTAACTCGGGGATAAAATTGGTGATATTCTGTATGTATGTCGTTATTACGATTACGGGATGAAGAGGATACAAGTCGTTGTAATTTACGGGACTGAATTTGATATTTCTCATAAACTTAATATAATTTATCAAATAGCGGTCTCTAACGGTTTTTCAAAAAATCTCATTAACAATTTAATTAAAAAGAAACAAAAGAATGTTGTTCCCAACTCTCTGTACGCGGTTCAACGTCAGTGTTCATCGATATGTGAGCAGTTTGACCTACTTAGGCCCCATATCTGAAAAAGTAGCTAATATTCTCTGACAAAACGGCGTTTGTGTGGCGTTCAAAACAAACAATTCTCTTAGAAATATCTGTAATAATAAAGATAAGTTGGATATTCGTCAAAAGTCAGGTGTTTACAAACTTGTTTGTGACGAATGCCACGCCGTTTACGTGGGTCAGACTGGTCATAATTTCGAGACACGTTATAAAGAGCATTTAGCCGCGTACAGGAATTGCAATCCCGATAAATCCCATTTTGCCAAACATCTTTTGCACGCTGGACACAACCTAGCCAACGACCACTCCTTTAAAGTCTTACATACGTGTAATAAAGGGCTGCGGCTGTGTGTGCTGGAACAGTAAGCGATATTAAAAAGTAATAATAGTACCGTTGCACTGCTGAATGAACAAACAAATGTTACTAACTCACCTCTTTTAAATATCTTTAAGCCTGCTCTCTAATAACAGAGACCTTCGCAATATGGTCGTTTGTCACCCTCACGGTGATCGGCGATTGGTTGCGTGGTTGGAGGGTAGGTGGGCTTTGCGCGGCGGTTGGTTTTTAATTTTACAAACGGCTGCGTAAGTCCGGCGGTGATTGGTCGCATGTTTTATCGCATGACGCAGTCGCTCGCTTCTTAAGTAGAGAGCAGTTGCGTCAGCGGTCTGTATATATAGCAGTTGTTTTGGCTCACCGCTCACTTAGCGGTTAGTCACCGTAGAGTCTATATCACCTGAGGATGCTTCGTGTAGAGGCGAAACACGTGTCGTATTGTCGTCAGTGGTGTATCTTAACTAGTGTAGTGGTGTTGGGAGTAGCGGTGCTGGGATTAGTGGTGACGGGGATAGTGCACGCAATTGAGGGAGGGCGGGAGGTGCTCTTCATACTAGTTAAGATATCATTTTATTTTATAACGCGGATATTTGCGTAGTAATTTTTTTTAAAAGCTTTTATGTGAGTAATGATCCAAGAGCGAGTCTTATCCGACACTATTCCGAAGATATCCCGGACGTCACTCTGAGCGAAATAGGAATGGCTCTCCAGCACCTTAAAAACGGCAAGGCCCCAGGCGAGGATGGAATTACAGCGGAGCTTCTGAAAGCGGGTGGAAGACCGGTACTTGAAATCCTTCAGAAGCTCTTTGATTCCGTCCTCCATGGTGGCATTACACCGGAGGCGTGGAGCAGAAGTGCGGTGGTCTTGTTCTTCAAGAAAGGTGACAACGCTCTCTTGAAGAACTACAGACCGATTTCCCTTCTGAGCCGCGTCTATGTGCTGTTTTCGAGAGTCATTACGAATCCTCTCGCGCGCAGACTTGACGACTTCCATTCCAGCCTCCCGAACAAGCCGGTTTTCGAAAGGGCACCATAGGACACATACATACACTTCGGCAAATTGTTCAGAAGTCCGAAGAGAACAATTTGCCACTATTTCTGGCGTATGTGGACTATGAGTAAGCTTTTGATTCCGTCGAAATTTGGGCGGTGCTGCAGTCCCTTCAGCGGTGCCAAGTTGACTGTCGGTATATCGAAGTGATGAAGTGTTTGTGCAGTAGAGCTACGATGGCTATCCGAGTACAGAACCAGAGTACGAAACCTATCCAATTGCAGAGAGGTGTAAGACAGGGTGATGTTATATCCCCGAAACTCTTCACCGCTGCATTGGAAGACGTTTTCAAGCTTCTGGACTGGAAAGGATACGGTATTAACATCAATGGCGAGTATATCACTCACCTTCGATTTGCCGACGATATAGTCCTTATGGCAGAATCGCTGGAGGACCTAAGCACCATGCTCAATGACCTCAATAGTGTCTCCCAACGAATAGGTCTTAGGATGAACATGAACAAAACAAAGATCATGTTTAATGTCCATGTCACACCTATACCGGTAGTTGTTGGGAGCACTAAGCTCGAAGTTGTTGACGAGTATGTTTACCTGGGACAAATAGTCCGCCTAGGTGAGTCCAACTTCGATCGAGAGGTCAATCGACGGATTCAATTCGGCTGGGCAGCGTTCGGGAAACTACGACACATCTCGTCAGACATACCTCAAAACCTTAAAACGAAATTGTACAACCAGTGCGTGTTGCCAGTGATGACTTACGGATCTGAGACGTGGTCCTTCACTGCTGGCCGTATGAGGAAGCTCAAGGTCGCTCAGCGAGCTATGGAGAGGGCTATGCTCGGGGTTTCTCTGCGTGATAAACTTAGAAATGAGTATATCCGCAGTAGAACCAGAGTAACCGACATAGCCCAACGGTTTAGTAAGCTGAAGTGGCAGTGGGCCGGCCATATAGCTTGAAGAACCGACAACCTTATACGTGGTAGAGCCATGCTGCAGTTATATTATGGTTGTAGCACGAATGGGTTGGCTCGACCGGGGAAGGACCACGCTCTCACAGACTACCAGCGTAAAATAGCAGCTTAACACTGTTGTGTTTCGTATGGTGAGTGTAGAGAACCGGAGACCCTTTTTACTGGAAACGGGGCATTCCATCTTAGTCCTCACGGGTGACAACGCATCTGCATTTTGATTCTTAATCAAAGATAGATGTAGATGTCTATGGGCCACAGCAACCACTTACCATCAGGTGGACTGTGTGCACGTTTGTCACCCTTATCCTATAAAAAAAAAACCGATGGGGAAGAAAGGTTCTTGAGAGGCAGCTTCGTACCGGTAGTTGAAGTGTAGGGCGACCTCCCACGAGATGGAGTGACGACCTGGTAAGACATGCAGGAAATCGATGGATGCCGGTGGCTCAGGACCGTGCTTTGTGGCATTCCTTGGGGGAGGCCTATGTTCAGCAGTGGACTTATGAAAGGCTGTAATGATGATGATGATTACAGGCTGTAAGGCATTCCATCTTAGTCCTCAGTCCTCAGGGGTGACAACGCATCTGTGTGTTTCTTTAATAACCACTTACCATCAGTTTGACTGTTAGATAAGTTTGTTTGTCACTTCAGTTTTATAAAAGACAACTGCTTCTAATTTGAACTTGCTTTGGATAATATCAGGCAACGCATATAATGGGAGAGGCTAAATACGTGGCCTATACGTGGTAGAGCCATGCTGCAGCTATATTGTAAAGTTGTAGCACGAATGGGTCGGCTCGACCGGGGAAGGACCACGCTCGCAAAGAATACCAGCGTAAAATGGCAGCTTGACACTGCTGTATTTCGTGTAGAGAACCGGAGACCTATTTTACTGGAAAAGAGGCATTCCATCAGTCCACACGAGTGACGACGCATCTGCATTTTGATTCTTTATTGAGGATAAATGTAGATGTCTACGGGTCACAGCAACCACTTACCATCAGGTGGGCTGTGTGCTCGTTTGTCACCCTATCCTATAAAAAAAACTGTTGACTGTTACGGGTTGATAATAATTTGCAATATAATTCGATTGACCAGGATGGGGAATTGGGGAAAATTGAAGGTGAAGATTGAAAACAAAATCCCAAATTTTATTATTTTAGCTTTGGTAATGTTGGTTTAAGAATAATGTGACGAATTAGGGGTTTTTGAAGCTAGGAATTTGTTAATCCAATGAGTTAGGTTAATTGGAATAATAACCTTAAATTTTTACTTCTTTTGCAGGCAATGTATTAATTGAAGAGGTAAAAAATGCACGGTCTTCTGTCTTATTACTTAGATTAAAATTATTTAACAAATCCATACGAGATTTGGTAACACACTTTCGGCCTCCAGTGGATGAATCAAAACATATTGAATGGAGCAATATGCTTTCGAATATTGTAACTGGGAAACAAATTATTTAATACAAATTTTTAGCAATGTTCTTATTTCATATCCAAAGAATTTCAATAAAACATAATTGTATGCTTCGACTTATTTTTATTATAGATCTATAATTATTGCGCACAAAAATTGTCTGGTCACCACACGTGTGTATAAATGCTTAGTTACTTAAACTATAAGCAACAGACTGGGCAAATAATTATTCTTAAATAAAATTAATGAAAGACCAATTTATAATTACCTTAGTAATAACTAATAATAATTTGTAAAGCCAATCACCAATATTTTACGTACTATACACTACATAACTGAGACCTAGACTTTTGTTTAAAAATTATATCTTGAAGTTCGTTTATAGTTTAAAAGAAATACGATTTGACATGTCTTAGCTCTGCGATGCAGTGTTAGAACTTATTATGTCATGACCATTTACAGAATTATGCACTTGAAAAATATTGATCTCCCTAACATGTAAACACTCGCAAAATATTATATACAATATTTTTCTATTCATTGTAAAATCGAAAATAAATTGGATTATGTTAATAGCGAAAATAATTTTTGTAGTAATTGTTTTTCATTGTCTTTATTTGAATTCCTTCAATTTTGTGTGTGAAAAGTATTAAAGATATTTTGACACACTTTTAATACTTGAAGCTTTGCTTAAACTAAAAACTTGTAGTATTATTTTAAATTTTAAGCTTACGTTTGAACTTTCGCTATTGAACATTATTACACTAAAGACATCATCATCATATGATTAAGTGAGTACATTATAATCATCATCATAGGCAAGATTTCAATTAATGTTAATATCTTACTCACTGAATATCATACATCTGTGAACATATTAGTTGAAATGATGTAAGGAAAAGCAGACAGGAATGTAGACAATGATCCAACAATTATCAGTGTTAGTAAGACATGCCCAAAAGTTCACTCAGACAAAATGTTCATAACTCGTAATACATTGCGACATATTACTAGTATATTGTAGTATGGACATGTCATTATTAAATTGTCTATTATGAGTAAATGTTAGTGACACTGTATCAAACAACACAAATACCGACTAGAAATTATATAATAAAAATTATATATAATCAGAAATATTGGCTCTACATTGTGACTAAACTATCACACAGCAATAAAACAGTGATTTGTCTAACTATAAAAAATGGATGAAAAATAACAAGTAATTTGCTAAAAATCTGATGCAAAATTAAGTAGCGCCATATTTGCTAATGTCTCATTTTCCTTATTGTCTTGCAATCTTATATTATTGAAGTAGATAAAGTGATATATTATACATTATTACATACGTGGGTGATTCCGATGGTTCCCAGTACAGAGGGTGTATTATACACTATTACAACCGTAGGCAACGTTGGTGCTCAAGGCAACCATAAATCGTACACTACTTAATTTTAACATACAGGGCTTAGGAAATTACTGTTGTCATTTTCATATTTAATGTGGATTCCAGCGATACACCTCTTTCTTTTACAATAATAATAAACAATAAATATTGTATAAGCGAATTTAATTGCATATTAGTTATTATATAAATACAAATACTTACACATTTAATGGTAAATTTTTGAATGAAAAAAAAAAATTACTATCCAAGTTGATAAAAATTTGTAATTTTAACAGTTTAATACACAATACCTTTACATTTGATATTTACATATAGTTATTTTTCCAAAATATTTGTTTTCACTTAAAATATATATAGAATAGAAAACAATTATGGTGAGCCATAAAACACTCATTTCATGGGTGTCGTAATCATGCAAGTTTATTGACAGGATGCTTATGCGTTAGCCACAAAATTTAGATTTGATGTATCTTTACATATATAAGATCATTAGGATTCCGGTGAATAAAACAGTGTGTATGAAGCAAGCTCGAATTATTTGCCACAACTCACTGCAAATTTCCGGTGGGTAGGCCAAAAAAATTTGCTTTACATAATTTTCTCCCTAATTAGTTCATTATCATCACAGATATTAGTCAATTAGGAAAATATGATCTTGATCACAACATACTTGTATCGTTTTATGACCATCATGTGTACGTGAAGAAGCCGTTATAACAATAATGAGTACCGATACTACAATAGTTAACACTCGTGCTAATCGCAGTGAATTGTCGACAGGATGGAATTCGGCTATTCTTAGTTCTTGAGTACACATCTGTAGTCCTTATTGACGTCTGAGCCGGGATTTGGTGAACGCTCTTTAGGTCTAACTGTACCACGACACGACGCTAACTTTGATTCCAAAGCCTACAATGAAGAAAAGTACACAATATGAATGATGTTAATATTAGTATATGGCGGAAAATTTAAAGCGCTGTTAAACCTTCACCTCCAAAGCTCGTGCAACATGTAGGCAGTGTATTATGAAAACACAAAGACCCTACACAAATACATATATCATAAAGCTCTTGTTCATATTAAAAAAATATATATAATAACTTTTTAAACCTACAGTACATATAAGATTTACGAAAAGACATTTTTTTGCAACTTAAAAATCTATATCTAAAATTACAATGGATTTACTAATATAACTATTAAACTAACTATATACTACAATTTCTAGCACCAAATCTTTTGTGATTTTGGACACGCCATAGGTCGATTACATTATATTGTAATATAAATATATAATAATATTTAGTTTGTAAACATTTTCACTTAATTGTTTTTAGTATATTAAAATAACGAAATTATTATCGTTATTCAGGCACTCTCACAATAAGTAACAACAAAATACTGTTGTACTACTCCAGTTTGATATAAAGTTTATATGTTTGCACTATTTTAACACTTGTTTTGATTTGGCTTGATCCTTCCTAATGGAGGCAAAACTCAACAAATTCTCTAGCCCTTCTCTAGATCGAACTGCAAAAGATCTTCGTAGTTTTCCACTTTCATTGTGGACGGGTCTTTCAAACGGCTGTTCAGAGGACCTATGTGAAAAATATTTCTGTGGCATATCATTTGACTCTTCAGGCTTTGATAACTGGCGTGTGAATTCTATTGGGTTTCTGTACTCTATATAGCTTTCTTCATTAAATTCTTTTTTAGACTCCTTTTCTTTGGTTACGTCCAATGGAGGGGTATGATTGTCAACAGTGACTGATGTATCACATGAGCATTTGACTTTACCACATTCACGGCAAAGAAATCTTTCAAGCTGTAAGCAATAAACACCATGCACACTACATAATACAGCCATGCAAATTAAATCTAGTTTACAAGTTACGTGCCAAAACAAAAGCTAGTCCATCTACTAATTTACGATATCTACTATATTACAAGAAGTGGAAGGGCTTCGCCAGCCAAAGGGCCAAGAGGGGGGGGAGGAGATAGAATAGAGAAAATTAATTACTGCTAGCTAATAAATACAATTCACTATGAATTTTTCGACTACTTTATTATTAAAATATTCTAGGCTCCCAATTATACTTTTAAGTAACTTTCATGGTACTTCAGTCAGGTTTTCATTTGTCTTAGGCTGCTAAAGAATCGCTTTACAGTCTACGTATGGCATGGTAGGGAAATAAATTTTTTAAAGAAGGCTTTTGACTTTTAGAACATCAACAATGGCCACGTTACATCGGGTGTCCTGCCATAATCCTCCCCCTCCCCTTCACTCCTAGATACGCCCTTCATTTTGAGTTCTAGAAGTGAAGTTAAACCACATCTTGTAAGTTTTAAATTTTAAATCTTTGTACTGCATAGTGAAGTTGTTTTTTTATATGAAATATGTAAATGTTTTATAACTAGACAAATAGAAAAATAAAAATTTATTTGGGGTAAGTAACCTTATTGTGATTTGACATAATTTCTCAGAGAATTATAAATTTAAAATACAAATTAAGTAAGTATATACATATATAGTGCACTACAAAGGAAAAGAAAATAACAAATTATAACAGACATTAATAATTATGATACAATAACAATTATAGCCCAACCAAGAAAATAAACATTTTCACCATAAACGCAACATTCAATAAAGTAATTTCATTTATTGGCAACAGTATAGTTTTGCATTTGTCAACATCAGTTTGTCATGTATAGTAACTTAGTTGTGAGCTCCATTTTCAATTTTCTTTGTTTTAAATTTATTAAAATGAAACAAGTGATAAAAAATTAAAAATTTTGTACAACCGACTTCAATATAAATAAAATGAGAATGATGTTCTACAATATAGTCGAAGTCAATTAAATATGCATTATTAAGGATAACTCAAAAACTACTAGTCAGATCTTGTTACATAGGACCACACGAGAAGCACCAGTTTTCAAATAAAAAAGAATCATAAAAATCGGTTCATCTAGAAAAACGTTCTGAGGTAACACACATAAAACACACTACATTGTGTCTTATTCAAGAGAAATACCTATTCCAAAGAATGAATTACAAATAACATTGGAATTTGTAATTGACAGAATAAGTATTTGATATAGTCGTATCTAATAAACGTTCTACGAGTTTATGGCCGGCCCATTACCACTTCAGCTTACTGATGATCCGTTGGGCTATGTTGATTATTCTGATTTTACTGCGGATATCCTTATTTCGAAGTCTATCACGCAGAGAACCCCACATAGCCCTCTCCATGCTCGCTGAACGACCTTGATCTTTTTCATGCGGTAAGCAATGAAGAACCACGTCTCCAGATCTTTATGTCACTGGCAACACGTACTGGTTGTACATTCTTATTTTTTAGGTGTATGTGAGGCGATGTGTCGTAATCTTTCGAACGCTAAACGTTAGCCAGCCGATTCGATTGACCTCCCGCTTGAATCGATTAGTCGAAGTTTTGACTTACCTAGTCCTAGTTGTTAACTAGTTGTCCTAGGTAAACATTACTCCCCGTGTGGAGTTGCCAGAGCTCCCATCGGGCGCGTTACGAGGTGGCGAATAGGGGAACGCCACTCAGATATGGGTGGTGGTGGGAAACCGTCGCGGACCAAAACTGGCAGAGTTTGGGCGTACCTTTGGTTCGGAATGGAATCAAAAAACGACCGTAGGCTTGTTTGGATATTGGAGGGCCTATTAGTTGCTTCCCGTATCCTCTCCGTTGAGAGGAACAGAGGATGTGACATGCGCAACCTCAAATGGAGGAGGCGATGGTAGTCCACTAACATGATGGCTGGTAATTGTCACTGTGGTCTTCTTCAGGCCAACATCAACCACTGTGCTAGCGTACAGGATTTGCTTTTGCAGAGCATGGCACAGTGGTTGATTGAGGTAGCGGTGCTCGTCGAGCCATACTTCATCGCTTCCATGGTCAACTGGGTAGGCGACATCGATGGCTTAGTGGCTATCACATCGTCGAGAGCTGCCACCTTCCCAACCTTCACAATAGTTGCGTGAGGTAAAGGATATGCGACGATCCAGTGGAGGGAAATAATTCTCATCGGGGTCTACTTTTCACCAAACAGATGCCTTGCTGAATATGAGACGTTCTTAGGCGAGTTGGGGCTCTTATTGGACAAACCCTACCTCGCCCAGTGCTTGTCATGGCAGACCTTAACGCTAAATCTACAGTCTGGGTTTCTTCTGTGACTGATGCACGTGACGAGGCACTAGAAGACTGGGTGAATCAGGGATCGGTCTACACATGCGTGCGAAGACAAGGGGGATCTATTGTAGACGTCTCATTTGCATCCCCTGCCATAGCAAGCAGAGTTCGTGACTGGAGAGTTTTGGAGAATGTGGATACATTGTCGGACCATCGTTATATTCAGTTCAATGTATCCACTTCTCCAGAGACTCCCAGCGTCAGTCTTCCGTTCAGAAGGCATTCCACATCGTCAGTCAAGAGATGGGTATTGAGAGGTATAAACAGAGATTCTTTAATTGAAGCCTCCATAATCCAATCGTGGCTGTCCCCTCCAACTGGGCCTCTGGAGGTTGCGACGGAGGCAACTTGATTTCGGGATGCTATGACGTGCAAGCATACCCCGCGCCAAACATCCACATTATAGGTGCCAGGTGTACTGGTGGTCTGAAGAGATTGCAGTTCTACGCGCTAACTGTGTGAAGGCGAGGCGCCGGTACACCAGGTATCGCAGAAGACTGCTTCGTAACGATGCTGTAGAAGAACAGTTATACGAAACGTATAAAGAATGTCGGAACGTTCTGCAGTTGTCCATTCGTGAGGCTAAGATTCGCTCAAGAGAATATCTCTTGGAGACCCTCAACCGAGATCCATGGGACCATCCGTATAAGATGGTCAGGGGCAAACTTCGATCTTGGGCGCCTCCACTCACTGAGTCTCCAACCTCAATTTATAGAGGATGTGGTGGTAACTTTATTTCCAAACCGGGCGGAGTGGCTACCACTTCCACAAGAGATAGAAGAAATAGAGACTGATGTGCCACGAGTGTCGCAAGAGGAAGATGGGCAGGCTAGTCCTTCTGAAAAAGGATGGGCGCCCTGCGGACTCTCCCTCCGCCTACTGCCCAATAGTGTTGCTCAATGAAGCAGATAAGCTCTCCGAGCGAATAATAGCCCGTCGTCTAATCAGGCATCTCGAAGAGGTGGGACCCAATTTGTCAGACCAGCAGTTTGGCTTTCGAGTGGGTCGGTCGACGATAGACGGACGAGATACTGGCGAGAGGTGGGTGTTACTGGCAGTGTCCCTAGATATTGCCAACGATTTCAACACCCTGCCCTGGGCGTGCATGAGAGAGGCACTGAAGCACCACAAAGTGCCTCCCTATCTCAGTCTAATAGTCCGGAACTATCTTTTTGAGCGATGCCTTTGTTATCCTGGGCGGGAAGGCAGGATAATAAAGAGGGAAATGTCGTGCGGTGTTCCACAGGGTTCGGTTTTAGGACCACTTCTTTGGAACATTGGTTACGACTGGGTGTTGCGGGGAGATCTTCCCACGGGTGTTGGTATAATCTGCTATGCAGACCATATGCTAATCACTGCCCGGGGTGAGACATATGAGGCAGCTGTCAGTCTTGCCACTGCGTCTGTGGCACAGGTTGTCGGCAGAATCAGAATGTTGGGACTGGCAGTGGCGTTAAGCAAATCTTCGAAAAGCACCGCCACAGGGATCCCACATTATTGTCAGAGATGTCCGAATTCAGATTGGGTCCAACACTCAGCACTTCAAGCGCTTGGCCCCTCGGCTAATGGGAGCGGTAGCTGCCTTAAAACGACTGCTATCCAATGTCGGAGGGCCCGATGCTAACTGCCGCCGCTTCTACCTGGGTGTGGTTCGGTCCATGGCTTTGTATGGAGTCCCCATATAGGTCTGACGTAAAGAACGGTCACCTTACTGAGAAAGCCCCAGAGAACGATGGCCATCGGAGTCGTACGAGGGTACCGGACGATCTATTATGAGGCTGCATAATATTGTGTTTTGGCGGAGTCACCACCATGGGATATGGAGGCAGAGTTCCTTGCGTCTCTGTACGATTGGCGCTTGGAACTTCGACATTGAGAGTATCGTCCTTCTCCCAGAGAGTGGCAATCGCGGAAGCTTCACTCTGGGCAACTTATGCTTGAAAAATGGAAAGGGTGTCTAGCTCACCCGAAGGCAGGAAGCAGGACTGTCGAGGCTGTTCGTTTGGTCTTGCCAGACTGGTTGAAGAGGCGGCACGGGTCACTGACCTTCCGGCTGGTACAGGTGCTTTGCGGGCACGGCTGCTTTGATAAGTATCTGTGCCGTATAGCCAGAAGAGAGCCAACAACTGAGTGTCATCACTGTGGTAGGGGCGAGGACACGACGCAGCATACCCTTGAGGACTGCCCAGCGTGGACTGAGTTGCGTTGTGACCTCGTGAATGTAGTGGGGGACGAACTCTCGCTCCCAGCTTTAATTAAAGCTATGGTTGGATGCGAAAGGGCGTGGAGTGCCGGCGTAACCTTCTGCGAACAAGCAATGTTGCGGGAGGAGGTACGGAGAGGGAGATAGAAAAGACGGCAGATGCCCCAATCCACAACCGGAGAGTTGGGCGCCGGAGGACAGCATATCAATCTCCCACCATAATTGAGTACACAATTAAGCATATAACATGATTAAGCAGCTGCTTACTCTATATGAAGCGTAAGTTCGGTCGTGCAAAGAGTATTTCTGACATATATGCGGTGGCTGCAAAATGCCAACCAGTAGCTATGGACTCAATTGAAGGCACCAATCTCACCAGCCTCAAACATAGGCGAA